TGTGTATAAGAGACAGGGCAAATACTTTGTGTACACTTTGTGATGGTCAGGGATTGCTGCCGTCTCCTGACAAAAGCTGTTTGCATTCATACCTACCCAAACAGGTCTGTAGCTGTTTTCTTTGGGTTTTGTTGAAAGAAACAAAAGCCACTGTAGCTTGTGGGGAGTGCGATAGCTCCTTCCACAGTGAATTTGATGTGAGTGGATTTATTTCAAAACTGTAAGACTGATTTACACATTTTTCTGGACACTCTAAGTACAGGTGTGCCTGGAGACTTCGTTTAATATGCTGTGTTGCCCTCTTTTTGCTGGTGTTATGATTTAGTCCCCTCTCCTCCCCAAATATAAACAGCTATTAGACTAAACATTTGATAACCTTTTGTTAACCTACTTGCATGGGTACAGCTGTGTCCCGCTAAAAGTGTGTGACTTTGCACCACTTAGAGGCCCTGCAAGAAGGAGAGATGATATGGATGCTCTGGTGCTTCCCTCGCTGGCCTGCCTCCTGAGTAGCTGAGCAGCGTTACCCACTTCGAGTAGCCACTTAACTGCGGAGGAGCTGGAGACCTCTCGGAGAGGGTCTGTAATCTGCCCAAGGCCACCTGGCTGTAGTCGGAGACTGCACTGTGCTCCCTCCGCTGGGTGTTCTCATGCTCTCTCCCAGCCAATTTAGGGGTGTGTGTACTGAATGAACAACACGTTGATCTTAAAATATGTTGTCTTAGATATTTCCTTGCAGTGATGTAAGTGGCGGTCTCTTTCAGTCATGCCAAACAAAGTTCATTCTTGATCTGGGCTGCTAGTGTTAGATCTAATACTTGCATATGCAACCTAGTTTGCAAAACATGTTGGATAAATTGATAGATGGTTGTGCTTTACTGTGATTCTACTACGGATGGCTTTCCAAAGTGGGATTCTTACTTAAATCAGTGAAAATAACTGCGATAGAAGTGCTCCAGGATTTTGTTATCTCTGAACTCAAATGTTTAATTTTAGTTTCTTGGGTTGTTTTGTTTTTTTTTTTTCTCCCTAGGAATAATGGAATCTCAAGCCACAGTTGTTGCAACAGGGATTCTGTAGATCATAAGAAAAGAAAGTATTTCCACTGAATGTTCACAGATGTGAGGTTATTTATCCCAGTTTTTGCTGTGCAAAGGTAAATTGAAATGAGTAGTGACAGGGAAGGAAAGATGTTAATTGCCAAGGCTGTCTAACGTTTCTTGTATCCCCTCAGTACTTTTAAGTGCTGGATCTTGTAAATATTCCTATAATTCTATAATTTAAATGAGTTGAAGAGTAGTTTCTGAAGGTGCATGACCATGAAAAGTATTATTTATTAATGGATGCTGAGGTACCACGCTTCCCTCTAAACTGAGGTTTCATTACTTGTAGACATGACTGAGAGAATTTTTCATAATGTTTTACTTTTAGAAGAATGCATGGAACAGTAATATATTCCAAGTAGCATGTGACAATAAGGATGAAAATTTAGAGGTTAACAACAAAAAGCAGCAAAGCAGGTCATAAACGTTATCCTTTAAAGGTTCCTTTTTTTACACCTGTATGTAAATTACTGTGTTGGAAGTTTAAAATGAGAATTCAGGTTGTCATTATTGTGGTAATATTAAACAGTTTTGGGGTGTTATTTGTTGTACTTTAAATACTCAGCTGCTGTATGTCATGTTTAGTTAGCTGAAGAAAGGTGTGACCAGTTGGGAGGTTGTGTAACAAACAAGGAGCTGGCAAGTGCTTTTGCCTGTTTTCTTTCCCTGAAGCTTTCCCCCTCCTCGCATCTAACTGGTCATTTCTCTGATGATAAAGCAGTGTTTTCTAAGGCCTTCTTCATTAGGCTTCACATAGTCCCATGCTTGGGTGACTGGTACGAAGGTGGAAGTGTATTGAAAAAGAATGAGGAGGGTCCCACTTCACTGGTGTTTTGAGTTTCCAGAAGGTGAAGTTGCTGCAGAGTTGCTTTTCAGTCTAACGCACAATTGGTTGTGTATCAGGAGGAACCTGAGAAAGCCAAAAGGATGCTGCTGCAGCTGCCATTTGGAGAGGTGACTCACCTGTGTGTTGATATAGCTGTGCAGTCTGAGTGGAAGCTGTTTTAATTGTTTTCCTCCTGAGATGAGGGTTTTGTCTTTGTTTCTTGGATGAGTTAGTAATGAAAGGAAAGAAAATTACTTTTTCTGTTTCCACAACTCTTAAGTTACAAAGCAAAAAGTAGCACTTTGTATTTCAGGCTGATGCATGCCATCACCTTGGATGGGGAAGTTACAGGTCTTGCTGTCCAAAACTGGATTAACCAGGTCTTTCATTCAGTTGTGTTCTGGCCAGAAAGCTTTTATGGTCTGTCTGTTATCTACCTGTAAATTTCCAGGAATGCAAAGGGCTGCTCAGCTTTCTGGAGACATTGCTGCAGCCTGCCTTACCTTCCAGGGCAGTTAGTACCTGTGGCAAGAAGGGTGTTGTGCTCCACTTCTCTCCACTTCTGTTAACCTAGGGTGTCCAGCAGCGGTTCTGTCCCTTCCTGTTTCTGCCACTCCAAGCAGTGCACCAGCAAGCTTCTGGGTATGTGGACACGTTTATGAGAATGGCATGAGTAAATAAGAAAAAAAATAATTTTGGTACTGTTAGTGCTTTTTTTTTTTCTTTCTTTTTTTAATGATGGGCTGGAGAAGGGAAGAAAAAAGGTGGTTTTGGGTTGTTTGTTTTTTTTTTTTTTCAATGGGGAGGCATGCATGTTGTTTGTAGTACTGTGACTGAGATTTTTGACAAAGAAGTGTTTTAAAGCACCAATCAACAGCCTTTACTTCAAGAGTATGTTCTTATGGGGCCTGAGGGGGAGACATAACAGATGACAAATTAGTAAAAACTTGGGAGTATTGATGTGAGTAGATAAGGAACTTTTCTGAAGACAGTAAAGTTAATTGAACCCCATGTATCAAGTATAGAACAGTTTTGTTATCTAGAAATAATACTCAATTTCCTGTCTTTCCCTCCTCATCCACCTATTTTTTTTTTCTCTCTGTTCACGTACAGCAGTGAACTCATAATCCAACAAGCGTTTTCTGTATTGATCCTCTTAAAAAATTAGCATTAGCCCATATATGAGGCAGGCCAAAGAGGATTGAGCACTGTGCTGCAAAATTAGCACCTGTTGGCCTCGTTGCAAGGACAGGCAGGCTCCCTGTGACTCTGAAGAGTGCTTTTGATACTGGGGTACAACATGGGTTTGAGAGGAGAACCGGTGATCACGTGTTGTGAGGAGCTTGATTTGTGCATTCCTGTGCAGGGCTGAGCAGATGTGTAGGTGGTGGAACACTGATACGAAAGTGACTAGGAAATGTATGGAATTAACAGACTGAGAAGTCCTAACGTCCTTAGTGCATCTGAGTCCACAGCTGAGCTGTGAGAGAGAAGAGGATATGTAAAGCATGGAAGAGTTTATGGAGACACGCATTTCTGTTGGGAAAGCAGGCAGGAGAGCAGAAATTTCTTCAAACTTCATTAGCTCTTTGCTGGTATGCAGCAGAGACACCAACTGATTATCTGGAAGCTAAAGCAGGTCTGACACAACTGCAGCAAGGTGAGACAGAGCGGAAGGGCTGCTGTACCCCTGTGCTTGAATATGGCCTGCCAGGTCCACACAGATTTGCACACATTGCAAATGGCAGAGCAGGAGGAAAAGGGGGGAAAAATGCATGAAACCTGATTATAGTTCTTGCTTTGTTCAAGAGTATTTTTCAGGGGCAGGCTTTAACTGTGTTTCTGCTGAGTTTTTCCTTCTCCCAGTATAAAGGAGGCATTCTTCTTGCCCCAGATGATTGGGTTTTATATGTATATGCTCAGTTGTACTTGATTTTTCTTTTTTTTAATAAACAAATGATGCTCTATGAACTTTGTCATTGTACATACAAAGACAAGCATAGAAATGTGGAGGCTTTTTTTTTAAAGAATGTCTTTGTTCTCACTTCCACTGAAAGAGATGATGTGTTTTGGTTGTTTGTTACTGGAAAAACAATGTAGGATGTCGGGAGGAGACCTAGAGCTGTGAAAATTCTTAGATTTGTGTTTGAAACCTCTCAGAGTAAATTGGATGTGTTATGGATAGAATGGAATAGTATAGACTTTTTTTTTTAAACGAAGTGCACTATGAATTAATGTCTCGAGTCAGGTCATTGAGGTTGTGCTTGGCTTTGCTTAGGTTTGTTGTAGTTAAACTCCCAGTTTTGAAATACTTCAGAAGGAACTAGCTGTCTCTTGCATTGCTTGGCATAAAATAGGCTGATCAGAGTTTGTGTGAGGACACACTAAATTTGGTAACTTATCTCTCCAAAATTCATTATCGTACCTTTCTGGTTTGCAAGTTGTCTCTTGTGGCAGTAGGAAAGAATAAACCAGCTATGCTTTGTGGCGTTTGGGACTGTCGTATGCACGTAGGTAGCACTGGCTTGATCGCCAGAGTTATAGTAACTTGTGAGAATGTATATCAATATGGTCTCTTACAAATACCCTTCTCTGTGCCTTTACCTAATCTAGTAAAGTGTGAATTCAGAAGACATTAAATCAGATTTAAGAAATAAAATCCCAGTTGTTAGGCAAGCAGAACACTTGCCTGAACTGTGCAGTGAAACCAGGTGAGATTCCTTTTGCTCACCCAAGGATGTAGGGAAGACAGAGTTTGTGCGAAGAGGCTATACTGTTCGTTGGACCAACTGGTATTAATTGGGAAAGTGATGGGAATGTAGAGGCTTTTGGACAATCAATTTTTTCTCAATCTAATAAAATATTTATCACCTTCTCTATAAGCCCCATCTTGGATGTTCTTGATAGACTCTATAATTCTTGCCAGACATTGTAGTGTGGTCTGTGAGATATTTCTCTGCATAAATGTGTACTTAATTTGACTATAGGAAGAACTGTCTACAAAAGCATTTGAAAAACAAGGGAGTGTTCTTCACACAGAAGCTAATACTGAGGGCCCTGACCTTGCTAGCAAGTTTGTGGGTGGAGCATAGCTGAGGTAGGGGATATGCCTGCAGAGATTTACCTGTACAAGAGGGGCCCTGCACAAGCATCCTGTCCTGACCTCTCAAAGAAACCCAAACAAAAAACATTGCAGTAGTAACAGGGCAGTAATGCTCTAGTTTGTCATTTTGCATATAAAAGTCTGCTGTAGCAATGTGGTGCTCAGAGCTTTTTTTTTCTCGCCCACATCTGTTGTTTCTTTTAACAAAGTTCCTAAAATGGCCAGAAGCTGGAAATTATGCATTCTCGACAATTGCATAGTTACCAAGGATTTGCTGGAGATGCATATGTATGCACACACAGATCCCCTTCGGTATTTGGCTGTAGGTACCCTACCTGAAGGGTCCATTTGTCAGAAAAGTAGTTGTCCGTCAGAACTGTAGGTGTAAAGAAAATAAGTAACTTTGATAGAACTAAATATGCTGCTTCCTCCAAGAACCCAAATGAAAAAACCCTGCAAAGCCAATAAAGTGTCTACTGTCTTTTGCTAAGGACTAAGAATTTTTTTTTCCTGTTAAAATCTGGTATTATTTAGATGAGAAAATGGCTGCTTTTTTCTTCTTGAATTTATTGGGATTTTAAAATATCTGTGCTTACATGTTTAGATGCTTAGCCCTATTGGAATAAGTTTACTATTCGTTTGATTCTGACTAGTTTTTTACTCTGTGTCAATGAAATTGATAAACAGCCTTGAAAGGTCATCCTGATTATCTGCTAGGTAAGTGAGACACATAATGGCCTTTTCATTTCACTTCTTTCTAACAGGAGGGATTATATGATAAATAGGTAAAACAGATCTTTTCATAGGCTTAAGAGCTTTCTTCTCTGTGCAATTTTGTCCCCCCAAAGAATTAAAAAAACCCTAACCAACAAACAGAAACCAAGAAACCCAACCCATATGTATACATTCATAGCATATTAATCATTTAAACTGTTTGACTAGGTATTTTCAATGAGGGTGGATACAACTGAAATAGTTTTGTCTTCAAATATGCAAATAAGTATTTCTAAATGTATTTTGAAGCTCATATTTTATGTGTCTAAGGGATTTATTACTGCAAAGGCAGAGAGTGTGTGACAAATCTATTGCATATGAACATGTATGGCTGAGTAAATTACATGTGTGTATTTGTATTCGCTCACAAAATTACCATGCTGATAAGGCAACATTTTCAAATGGTTGAATTTGCCTATTTGGAATTGATTTTTTTTTTTTTTTAAGGGATCTGCATGCATCTCCCCTGAAATGAGCCTGCTATGTGCATAAATTGATTGTGCATTAAATGGTACATGCTGATATTCAGGAATTCCACTGAGGTTTTTAAGAACTTTTTTTTTCCTGCTTTAGTACTGACAGGGGAGAAAGTATCCATTATACAGAGCCTGTCTTCTGTTCTCTAATTTAATTGTTGGCTTTTATGAGAGTTCAGTTCCTGTTGCTGCATGTCTGCCTCTGTTTTTCTTCATAGCTGTGCCTTCATCTTCTGGAATAGGATGCAGATTATTGCATGTCAGTTGCTTTGGAAAAATAAATTTCTCAGCATTATGAAATGATGCTTTTCATCAGATGAAGCATTTGGTGGCCTTTGCACTCTGGTTTCTGCTTAGTGTTTGCCGAGAATTCTGCACACATTGAAGATCAGTTTGCTGCTGTATGAAAGATGGTGCTGAAATAGGTCTGGGAGTGTGTTGAGGGGAAGGGGTGAGTGCAGCAGAAAATCCGTTGACCAGGAGTAGTTAATGTTTCTCTGTGGAAGGAGAATGGAGTCAGCTGTGCTAATTTCTATTCAGTAGATGGGCTTTGGGAGTCAAAGGTGTTAATGTGACCCTGTCATTACATGAAGCTTGGTGGTAGAGGGAGTTTTCAGTTTCCCACAGAGAGATCTTGGCCTGCATATTTCCATGGCAACTGCCATCACTTACACATTTATAACCTTTGATTAAAGATATGAAAAGAAGGGGAAAAGCTCTTAAACATTACAAATGTAAATCTTCAACTAGATCTTTCATTTTAACAATATTTCTAATTTACATTCCTTGGAGTGTGGGGGTTTTATAAGGAATGCAGCTGTCCCTTCCCTTTTTGGTTGACTTTGATATGACATTTTGGGGCAAATGTGATGTTCTGGAGATAGCTATCTGACTTTGATCATAGCTGCACTGACATCACCAATATAGTTGCTGTATATTTACATTAGTGTATATTGTACCAAAATTATACTTGAAGTCTGTTGTGCAAGGAGATTTGTCTCTCTGAAAAGATTCGGTGGAAAAAAAATCTAGTTCTCCGCTGAACAAAACTTATTTTTAAAGAGGAGGAACATGAGATATACCCTAAATTACAGTCTCTTAAGCATTATAATAGCTGATATGCAAAAGCCTTATGCTGATGGCAAGAACAAGCTGTTGCTGCAGAAACTGAGGCTTGCTGTTGGCTTGTAAACTGTGCAAGGGCATGTTTATACTTGATGCATGTTCCCATCTCTCCCTTGTCTACCTCACCTGCATGTTCTTGAAAGTATTTTACTTCATGGTGTGGTGGCCATGTAGCAGTGCTGTAGAAGAAATGCTCTCCATTCAAGTTAGGTATTCTCACATCAAATGCTCAGGTGCAGCATGTTACACTTTCTAGGAATTTTTCACTGCTGTAAAGCAATGGAATTTTGAAGCAAATTGACTACTTCTCTATTATATTTTTCTGCCTTTTTTATCCTGCTTTTTTTTTTTTTTTCTTTCTCCCTTGCCATCTGCCACTGTTTTTGAATCATCCTTGGGGAGATGGAGGAAATACAATGAATACAATGAATCCATACCAGTGGTTTTCATGTTTATGCTACCAATGGTCGAGCTGTAATGTCAAGACCACTGCAGCGGGAGCTCTGAAGAGGGATGAAATAATATGTTTCTTCTGTGCCTTTCAGGCAGCTGAAAGCTGGTTTTGCTTTGGATTAATCAGTGTTGCCTGTAGGCTAGGGCAGAAGTGGCTGGCCATGACTAACTCGGTGAGATAAAATGACAAATGTAAGGGGATGTTTTGCTAGGACTGCATGCTGAATTTCTCCAGCATTTTGCCATCACTTCATTTTTTTCAGAAGAACTGTATAGATACTGCTAAGCCTAATGTCTAGTGATTGGTAGTTTAAATGGACAGGGCTGGCTATGGTTGCCAAAACAGGGAGTTTTACTGCTACAGATGTATTGTTCCATCTGAATTTCTAAGGCTGAGCACACTGTATGGTTATTAGTAGCCTCATGTGCTGCTTCCTCTGAGAGCGTGAAGGGCCCTTCATGCTGCTCTTGTATGAGCTGTTCTCATTCCTTGAGAAAGTTTTTAGTACTGAAAGACCTGGTTGGTTACTGTGGAAAGTAACAAGTCATAACAACTATGCAAACGTGACTGGAAAATTCAAGATATTGGGATATTTATAAGGATGTCCTCTGTTATAAAAGATAAAGAAAAGAATTTAGAGGAAAAGTTACAAGGCATTGTGAAATACTTTTTTAATCCAGGCTAGCTATGGATATTGATGCTGTTATTAATCCATGCAATTTTTGATT